CTTGCAGCGATCGGCTCCGCTCGCACTTATTGGCGACGTAAGCGATCAAAGCGTCGCTGTGGTCGGCCCACCACAATTGGCCGTAGGGTGATTACCTACCTGCTGGCGAAATGCGGGACACGCAAGGCAGGGGGGGGGGGGGGGGTAAAGAAAATGTATTAACAGACGCACCACGGACCCAGGCTCTGTTAACACGTTTAATATCCTGCGCTGTTTATACACCTGCTAATTGTATTGCGGCAATTAAGCTCAATTAATTCTCACTCCCAGTGATATACCTTTTATTCCGAAAGTGTTATTAATGTGTCGAAGTTGAAAATATATTTCAATGCATCAAATGCAGATAAGAAACAATTAATCTTTTTCGGGTTATTGTTTCCTGTCAGCGCTTACTTTTATCAACATGGACCTACACAAATTTTTAACATTATATTCTTTTTCAACCGTTGCGAGTTGTAGGCTTTTTGCCTTGTATGGCTGCCTTCACTAAAACAAAAATTCACAGCAACCCTTTCGTGTTGACACAGTGATTTAAAAGTTATTACAATATTTTATATTGAAACTTTTGGTGAGCAATTCCTCTTAGAATATTTTGCCAAGGGTAGAGGCGCAACGGAACATGGGCGTCAGTTCTCCTGCAAGAACGAGGGTTGCTTCCCGCAATGCTTGGGTAGAAAATGGTGTGCCACTGCGATCCACACGATTACCAGCGACATCCGCGCTGCTCCGTTGTTCGGCAGCGCCATGAGTTGCAGAGTGAATTTAGTACAGTATGAAATGCGGGACATTTCGAAGATTTGGGGTTTTCTTGCGGGACGCGGGACACGAGCCCTCAATGCGGGACAGTCCCGCGAGTCGCGGGACGGGTGGTCACCCTAATTGGCCGAATGCTGACTATGACGTCAGCAAAGGATATCTCATCGACGTAAATAAGAGGAAAGTAAGAACTTCAATTTTGACGGTGTTGGCAGTGTTGATTTGAGAGCGCTATGATTTCAGGCTTCCACCATGCACATTACAAACACCATCGAACTTCTTGTTCACAAGGTAATGACGTCACGAAAGGGAACCGAACGAGGGCGCCACCGAAACATCTCGCCGCTAATACTGAGATACAGTATACACAGTTCAAATTTGGCAAGCTAGGCCGCTCGCAAGTATCAGGTCTTACGCGGCAGGAAACGGCTTCGTGATCAACGGACACTGTAACCTGACGCTGCCGCGTCAAGTCGCTGCAGAGTTTCTGGCCAAAATAAAACGCGTTTAACTCACAAAATAAATTACTGTATAATATTACCTCGCACCATCGAGAACTCGAAGTCGGCTTCCACTTAGCCCTCCTTGTTTTGGCCTCCCGGATCTTGTGCATTGCACGGTTTTCTTTTCCTTGCGGGAACCGGTACATCCTGAACCCTTTTTTCGCGCTGTTCGAACACCCAACGGCACTACAGCACCCCATTACGTTTTCTTCTAACGTTTCGCGGAGCGCAGAACGATAATTTTCACCGTCGTCTCTCGCTCCACCCTAGTCAGACGGCTGCCGGCTCGAGACGACAAGGCACATCATGGCGGACGACGAGACTCGGAATGCGATGCGCACAGTTGCCAGACTGTTCGATCAGTGCTGCCAGACTGGCGGCTGGATCAATAGACCGCCGAACTCTCCCAGTATAAAAGGCTCTGGTTCACCCTAGTGTGGGTGAAAGGTTGGCTGTTGGGTGAAAGCACCTCCCACCTCTTTCCGTGTCACCGCTCCAACCCGGTTTTCTCGCGAGTGGCGCGTCAAGTGATTGGCCCGAGGCAAGGCACTAGTATTACCATAGCGGCGAGCAATGACGCTCTTGTCAGAAGTGATGGTATGAGTGACCGTATATGTACATCATTGCACAGATATTTACCCAGCCAAAAGTAAGGTATACTTGCGATGCTATTGTCTGGGAAACAAGAGCCTGCCATTAATACTTGCGTGCGCTCAAGTGAATTTTTGTAGTCTACGAGTTGAGCCGCTGTTTATGCAAGGTGTGCCATATTTTCAAAGCGGTTACATGCTCTGACCTAGTGACACGGCCATTGGTCTGGCGCCCACATGCCAAAAAGGTCGGACATGTTTGTACTCGGCGACCCTAAAAATGCATATAAAAAGACGAAGCAGCGTCCACAAGCATAACGCGCCAGTGTTGATTGAAGACGAAACTGAATTTCACATAAACTTCCATGCACCGCAGCCGACAATTAAGGCGATGTAGCCATTAAAGCAGCACCAAAAGCGAATCGTGAAGGCACTTTTTTGTTTCGTGGATTTGCTCGGGCACACAAACTCACACAAAATTCGGCGCAGAAAAAAAAAAATAAAGAACAGGCGCAGAATTGCGGCGCGCTCAACTTGCGTGAGTGGTTTGGTCGGTGACAGTAAAGACAAAAATGATGAGCGCATGACAGTGCACTTTTGACGCTGCTTGACTGACTCTATGGGACCGTATAGGCCGGGGCTGTGGTGAAACAGAGTATAGACCTCTCCATACCTTATCACCAGGGGGAAAAAATGCTGAGTCACCAAGCGGTGGACGCATGCACAGAGTTTAATATACCACACGACAGAACTACATCGCAGGTTCGGAAGGCCTTCCACGGCACAGCAGACTAAGATGGCAGCGCTCCGTAGGCGATTTCTTTCGTAGGGTCTACAGAAACTGGTCAAAAGTTAGATTACATTTCGACTATAATGCGTATACACGGATATTTGAAATGAGCTGTCGGAAGAGAGAGGTCCAAACTATCTAAACCATTAAAAGTTTACACTCTTAATTTTGTAATGTGCAGACATTGATAACTATTTTCTAAAATTCAGGACAAACTACAGCAAAACCTGTTTTGTCCTAAGTTTTAGAATTCCTTTTTAGTTTACGTCGGACAACACTTTCTAAAGTCGTACCTCGTCGAATTGCGCCGGTGACTCGAAGGCAAGCCAAACCATTGGAACATCTAGATTCGACATCGAATCCGAGATTCCCAAAATATTCGCGACATTCATTCATATAAGTGAAGTACTTCAAACGAAGACTTTCGTCAAAATACGAAGGCTAAAAATAGAGTGTGAGACACAAAAAAAAAAACAAAAAAAAAAAACGAGCTCATGTCAGACATGGTTTGTGCCTTGAAATAAGTCCAGGGTATAGATTTGGAAACCAATGTTTCCAATGCCCTACCAACTAATGTTTCCAATCCAATTCTACCCTAAACTAAAATTTAAAAAAAAAAGATATAAAGTTTTTTTTTTTTTTTATGAGATGCGTTATCAAAGTTTCTGCAGCGTTATCCCCAAATAAACTTGGGCTTTCTTCGCGCTACCGTGAGTATTCGACAGTGAGCTGGTTATGTATTATACCACCTGGTGTCCGTCTGTGAACCTAAACTAAACAGTGTCTGTCCTTCTCTTCTCTAGTTTCGACTTTTTATGTTAAATAATATTATTGAAATTATTAAATCACAATGAAAGATGAGCGGAGTCAGCTGAAAAAAGAACGAATAAATATTTTTTGTAAAAAAGCCATTTATTTTGTACTATGTGTCGTGCTGAGTTTCTCCTCTGCAGCTATGTAGAATTTCATGTTATACATATTTCTTATTTGAAAGTACACGGCAGCTAAAGGCTTCTTCAAGCTGTTAAACAAAGTCTTGTCCCTTGCATTTGCCATCCATACACCATAATTTAAAAAAAAAGTTAAAAATCTTCTAAACATCAGGGGTGAGACAGAGCAGGTCTGTCGCGTTCGTGCATCTGCTTCATTCCTATATTTCTGTGTTGTGTTGTTCACGATGTTTACCTAGATGTATTTTGTGTACACCATTTTAAAGTTGTGCATTAGTATTGATGAGTTTTTGCTTGCGCTATTTTTAGCAGTAGTAAATAGTTAACGATCTTAGGACACGCCAATATACAATATAACTATAATGCTAGTAGTCATTGTAGGCCCGTATATTTTTGCTAAACGTTTTTTGAACTAAGCGATAGTTTCGTGGATAAATCAATTTATATGTGGACCAGCCCGTTCGAGGTGGTCCGAGGGCCATGTTTGGTGGGTCGGTGACTTACTTCCCTCACAGTCCCTGGCAGCGAGGCGTCCCTTTGCACGCACTCGCAGACTTGACTTTCTCGACATCTCGCGCTTCAGCTTCCTCGTTGACCTTCCGCGTTTCAAGCACCCGGTTTCGAGACGATGACATCAGCGTTTTCCCCAGATTCGTCGGAGTCTCCAACACTGATCGCAGCAGCAGTGCGAATGACTATTATCAAGAGATGTTGGAAACTGGTCTTTGTAAACTTCGATCCGCTGGCGACCACCCCCAGTGGCGACAAGATCGTCAAGGACGAACCCGCTGTCGTCCGCGTCGATCGCGCACGTGCATACCGGGGGGAAGGTCAAGGGGCCAGGGGGCGAGATCAAGAATAACGTTAAATACTTTATTAGGGGCAGGAGAGAACGGAGTTGCAACTTGTAATATCTGTTTGAGAGCTTTATTAATTTCGTGTGTATACTAAACACCATCACGTAGTGTTGGGGAAGACGAGTAGCGTTAGAGGGTGCGATCGTAGTTGGGCGAGCTTGGGCGAGCTTGAGCGAGCATGTGAGCACCTAGAGTGATAGAGCTTTCAACTACAGATCAGGATCTTGGTTTGTGGGCACCATAGTGCGACTTACATGGACAGCGTTGCCTGGTTGCCAGACGAAAAGTATCAACAATCGGAAATTCATTATGGCAATTACTATGGCTGTAGCAATCACTAAACTTGGTGTATATACTAAGTAAACTATGAGCATTCCCTCTAAACAATAATCTACCCGTTTCATTCTTGTATCCTAACCCCTTTAACCTGCATTCCTTTTTCTCATGTGCTGTACCAATCTCTGTCTACCTAACGAAGTGAAAACATAGGTTTGCGCGCTCACTCCATGCTTAGTCAACATATTCGAGCCTTGATTTTGGAACGAGACATCAAGATGTTTTATGTTGGTTTCAGCGCATCCAACAAATATTCCAGAAAACAAAGCCACCTTCTCAGGGCAATCTTTCGTGTCGTATGGCTCGACACATTTTGGGTGATCGCAGTCACCTTTTCTTATTACGGTTGTCTCATTGCAAGAATTCCAGTGCTAGAGTGAGTACACGATTGTTTTCTTTTAATGTTTTTTTAGCTATGTCACCAGACCACGTTTGTGTGATTGGTATCTACTTATGGAAAGTAATTTAAATAAAAAAAGACGTCTCTGAGCGCATTCTTTTCATCATTTTACCTAATATTATCTTGTGCTTCGTATGTGAGCTGTTGTTGTGCACTACGTCGGTCATATGAAAGCAACTGACATTATGGAAGAGAAAAAAAGCGCCGTTGTTCTACGACAAACACATGTGGAATAACACGTTCAGCTATTTTTTTTCAGCTTCATTCGCGTTTTTAACAACCCTTGGCGTAAATATGTTGGAAGTTCATGTACAACAATTTATGTGATATGAAGTCAACAAAATGTTAACACGAGTATTGGCGTGAATTATTTCTTGGTTATTAGGTCCAACGTTACATCAACCGCAATAGGTTTAAACTTTTGATGCATTCAGCACGTGTAATCTAGCTTGTTCATCCTATTCTGGATATATTACATAATTCGTAGATCTGTAATCATATTTTCCATCTGAATTTCAAATAAAACTTCAAAAATTAAAGCTTTTTTTATTTTTTTTATTTGGCATAAAAATGTTAAATGAGGTTTGGATATTCATATGGCCAACAACAAACGTCGTGGCAGTACTTTCTTTTTGCCGATTTAGCAATGGCAATGCGCAATTTGTTTGTATGCAGCGCTATTCAACCATTAATGGGGTGAACTTTTGCCCAAGATAACATAGAAGAACGTTAGTTTCGAAGGCGTCGATGTCGGCGAAACAGCAGGATGAAGCGCTGGAGCGAGACTGCCTGCGGCTCGCAACGCCTCGGAGCACCTTTTGTGTAGCCGCGTGGGTTTCTGAAGCATTCGGCCTTAAAACGTTTGGTGCGTAGAACATTCGGGACTCAATCAGACTAGCTAGATTTTTCTCGAACTCACCAGAACGCCAAGTTAAAGAATAAATAAAAGAACAATCGAACCCAGAAATTCCGCGCGACAGTCAAGCGCGGTAACCATTCCGCCACGCAAGCGATCGCTCAGCGCCGCGCGTGGCACTTTTAATTTGCGCTCAGTTTCAGTTGATTTAACTATTTCAGAAGCTACAAAGCAGCGTCAATTTTCGAAGCTTGAAATACGTTTGAGCGGAACCTTTCAATCTTATGTCCCAGTTCGTCCATCCATCCGCGCATTTCCCAGGTCAGTTTAGCTGGGAAATCGACTCCACGTCACATGACGTCACGTGACCTATATATTAATTCAGTCTCCATGCTAAGTGTAGCACGAAATAGACGGCACACGGCCCCAACACCAATTCAGCCGACATCTTGTAAGCCCTAAGATGGGGAACGATAAAAAAACGGACGAACACAACAAAATCTCAAACGCAGCTGAAGTTTTATTGATAGGAGCATACCAGTAAATAGACTTTCACACAAAAGTAAAAGAGAAAGTGCAAAAAATAACTCAAAAGCAAAAACAAGACGGCCAACGCGTTCACCCCAGACGGCCTAATACCCCTGTCAGACGGGCACCTTGAATGTCATTTACGCTAAAGGCCTTTAGGATTTTCAAATGACATTTAAGTCGTGTCGTGTCAGACGGGCAACCACTGATCTCAATGACAATTGCTGGATCGCGCTTGCCGCTCCCGCAAGTGAAGCCACCGGACGCAACCCCGCTGGGATACGATTTCCCGTTTTGCTAGCCTTTTGCTGCGGTTTTCCAGCGTGCTGTAGACACGTTTTCTGCTCGTTCGTCGTCATTCGCCGAGGAAGTTTTTTGAGACTCTGTGTATTGTTGAGACTTGCCGTTGTGAACACGTGGAAAATTTTACGAAAGTGCAGTGTCGCAGGAAAAAGGCACAACGCGTCGAAAGGAAGGGCTGGCGGCGTGTTCAAAGCTTCCTTGGCACGCCGAAGTGCCGTGTCTCTGTGCCTTCGCGCGCTTGGATACCGACCAAGAACCGACGCCGTGTGAATGTGTTTAGCGAGTGCAATGTGCGTGAAGCCGTATCAAAAGGTACAACTCGTCGAAAACGTGTCGCCGGTGTCGCGGTGTGATCAAAGCTTCCTTGGCACGCCAAGTGATGCATCTTTGTGCCTTCGCACGCTTGGATACCGGTCAAGAATTGACGCCGCGCCAAAGTTCTGAACGTGTGTCGCGCGTAGATGCCTTTAGATCATTTATATATATCGGCCACGGAGTTCTGGATCGTCCAGCTGTTCCGGTGAGTTGCTATGAATAAAAGGGGGAGATCTGTACGTGTTCTTATGTACTATATTAACCATGGCTATGTCCCAAATCTACTCTAATAGATTCCGTGGGAGCACGAATAGGGCAACGTTGTGGAGCCAGGGGGGTTTTCGAAAGCAAAAGTACAAGACGGCGAGAATGAAAATCTTTGAAGCGCGGCCGATATGGTCGTGTGCAATCTGTTGACCAATTACAATTAGGCGAGCCGCGCTCAAACGTCAAGTGCAATTAAGTAGGTTGATAATAAGCCAGCACTGATCAGTGATGAGGAGCTGTTGTGTACGGTATTGTGTAAATCGTCTAAGGACGAAAAAAAGACGTACCTTCCCCCCATCTTCCGTCGCTAGTGGACGCTGGATTAAGCTCGTTCCTAAACCGCGCGGGGAAAAGACGCTGATCCAGAGGCACGAACAGCTTCACGCACATTGCACTCGCTAAACACATACACACGGCGTCGGTTCTTGGTCGGTATCCAAGCGTGCGAAGGCACAGAGACATGGCACTTCGGCGTGCCAAGGAAGCTTTGAACACGCCGCCAGCCCTTCCTTTCGACGCGTTGTGCCTTTTTCCTGCGACACTGCACTTTCGTAAAATTTTCCACGTGTTCACAACGGCAAGTCTCAACAATACACAGAGTCTTCAAAAAACTTCGGCGAATGACAACGAACGAGTAGAAAACGTGTCTACAGCACGCTGGAAAACCGCAGCAAAGGCTAGCAAAAACGGCAAATCGTATCCCAAGCGAGTGAAGTCCGGTGGCTTCACTTGCGCTGCAGCGAACAAGCGGGGAAGCGCGATCCAGCAATTGTCATAGAGATCAGTGCGGGCAACTCAAATGTCATTTAGGTGATGTCAATCACAATAGCGGTCTGTTGTTAACCCGGCAAACTAGTGTTTATTTTATTGTTTCCTAAGTAAATAAAATGTAATGAATTCTTAGAACATAGAATTCAAACGCGGGGATGAAAACTAAGTACACGTTTTGACGGAGACAAGGTGTTTTGTGGCAACGACACGACGTCAGCAATCCCAAGTAATCCGTAGCCGTAGCCGTTCCGCCGCTTGGCTTGTCTGCTTTCGTAACTCCGTGCATCTTGCTCGCCGTTGTTCCTCGCGCTTCTCCGTTCTTCGACGGGTTCGTATACCCCGTTGACGCTTACGTCTGCGATTGATTCAAGCGAAGACCGTGACCCTGTAGCGATGGGGCCTGCTGACGACAATGATCGTAGTGCGATGGATCCGGAACTGCCGGAACGTAGGATCGCGTTCCTGACGCGCAACTGAGACCGCGAGTATATTAAACAAATATATCGCAAAAGGTGTGCGAGATATACACGTTATAAGCATCTTATTCTAAAAATAATTGCTACAAGCATTGTTTTCAATTGTATTTATATTATATATAATGTTTTATTTCAATTCGCGGAACTTGTACTGACCGCTGTTGACGAGGCTACACATTTACGAGCCGTAAATGAGCTTGGGAGAACTCAGTTGAGCTCGAATGTCATTTAAGTCAAATGTCATTTTAGTTGCCGTGTGACACTGCCTAAATGACATTTACACTGAATGTCATTTGGGGTAAATGTCATTTGAGGTGCCCGTCTGACAGGGGTATTAGCCACTCCCCGGCTCCAACAACCTTCGGAAAGGGAGCTGACCACCCGAACAACAACAACCCCACGGTCCCCACACATGGTGACCTCCAAACCGCTAAAGCCTAATCCCCATTTCCTACCCCAAGCAAACCCTTCGCGGTCCCCCCCCCCCCCCCCCCTTTTTCAAGGTTTACAAAGCTCCCCTCATACAAGCAAAAACTCTTTCATTCGATCAGTGATCACCAAGCACAGCTGGCACAATTCCCCCGCTCGCGAATGCATAAAGTCTCCTTAATTAGCCTTCTAAACAATTCTTTTTCGTTACACAACACAGAAGCTTTTTCCCAAAGAGGGGAACAAAAATTACAAGAACTAACATGATTAACCAATTCAGAATTCTGCGCCAAATTCTTTACATACCTTTTATGCTCCACACGTCGGTCATTCAAACAACGCCCCGTCTGACCAACATAACACGATCCGCAGTCAAAGGGGATCTTGTAGACTACCTCTGTGACACAGGAGACTGAGGGATCTCTGTTTTTTCCCGCAACATCCCTCACGTCTGAAGGTAAACGGAGTAAGCCTGTCTAAACGGAAGTCCGTCCTAAAAACCACATTAACGTTGAACTTCGCACCCAAGGCTTTTAGGCAATGAGAAAAACCATGAAAATAAGGAATCACAGCAAAGGTTCTACCTTGAACCCTGTCAGCGGTCACCGACGCGCGTACAAGCAGTCTACGTGCACTAGAAATGATAAAATCTAAACTATAACCCGCTGACAATAAACGTTTGGCTTGAACGTCGAAAGCGTTATCAACACAATGAAAACAAGATTTTTTCAGTGCACTGCCAATTAATGATCTCACCACCACCCCTTTTACCAGTTTAGAATGAGCACTCCAAATTCTAAACTGGTAAAAGGGGTGAGCAAAATGACACTCTTGCAGGTCCCTCATTGCCGCCACCAACCAGTCGGGACAAGGCACGCTGATTCTTTTGTTCTTGGCCACCGCTACTGCTGAATCAATGATTTCGTGCTATATGCTGTACCTTTCCATGCGACTGGGACTTCGGATTCGCAGCATGTTGCAGGCAGCAATATTCAAAAAAGTAAGTTATACTGTCAACATAGAGTATACCTCGATGTGCTTGACACAGTAGAATCATGTGGTATAAGTAAACACCACAAAAGAAACGGTTCTACTAAAATACATATGCATGTCGTTCAAGCGACGCAGTGGGACGTGTCACCTTCTATATGTGTTTATTTCTCAGCATAAGTGTCTTTATTCCAGTGTGTGATCTTCCTAGCTCCCACTGCCAATAATATACGGAAGTAGTAAAAACTTCAAGGATGAAGAAAGAATAAACAATTAAAACAGGGACAACACAACCACATCTTTCAACTAGCAACAGACGAGTAAACTTTCAACAGCGAGCAGCCGACTATACCCAGTAGGAGTGGGGGAGAGAAGGGGAGAGAAGGAAAGATAAAACACGCGAAGTGCAAGTCAGGGTAATAGGGTTATCTCAGATTTTAAAAATTCAACCTCAGTTTTCGTCAGCAGGAGGGAAGGGTTTGACACGTTATTTTTTGCTGTGGTCATGGCGAATGATTCTATGATTTCCCTGCCGAATCTGCTGTCATGCCCCCCAAGGATTTTTGTGTCATCAAAGAGGGGATGACAACGCAAACACGAACGGGCATGTATGACTATGGGATGATAAGAATCTGGAGAGGCCTTAGAAACTTCGTTGTGATGTTCGCGGAGTCTGTGATTGGTGCATCTGCCGGTCTGTCCTGTGTATCGATGGCCACAGCTCAAGGGGATGGAGTAAACTTTCTTCTCTTTGCATGGAATGAATTTCTTTTCGTGTTTGACAGTGCAGCCAATCGGAATCCGGTTGTTGTTCACTTGTTGACAGAGTTGTTTAAAACGCATGCGGCACGAGAAGACAACATTCGTGTCGAACTTTGAGGCAATGGATTTTATCCGGTGGGCTGAATTGTGTACGTAAGGAATGACGGCGAATCGGGCTTTCTTTTTTGTGGCTGGTGACTGGCAATCAGGCCCGCGAATCATCCTTTCCATTACAGATCGGAGAAGGTCGACGGGAAACCCTGCCCTGACAAGCCTCATGTGCTGCAATTTTAAGCTATCTTCTGAAAGATGACAGCAAGACTTCGTGAAGGATGAAGAAAACAACGATTTGATGATACCGTGTTTTACCGACTTCGAATGGGCGCTAGAAAACGGTAGGACAGGTTTGGAAGACCTTTGTTGAAAGGCCCAGCAGAGTCCAGTGGCACTGACATGAAGCCGCAAATCTAGGTACTGAAGACCTTCATTCGGTGGTTCTTCCTTCGCGAATGTAAGGCCTGACGAACAAGCGGAAAAAACAGCTGTAATGCTATCTGGAGAAGTTCGAGCAGGATGAATGATTAGGTAATCGTCTACAAATCTGAAAACATGGCAGCCAGGCGCGGAGATGTCCAGTTGTGCTTTTATAGCTCTGTCAACGAATAAAAGGAATAATTCACTGAGAACAGGGGCGAGACATGAACCGATGCAAACTCCCTTTTTTTGGCGGTAGATCCCTTTCTCATGTTCGACTAAGGTGGACTGGAGATATAGATGAATCAGGTCCACGAATCCAGCAACGGAGACACCGGAGGAATTCTGAAAATCCACAGCTCCGTGCTCAAAGATTGCGTCGGAGATTGAGGCAAGCAAAGCGGTAGGATCTAGATTGAAATACATGTCTTCTATGTCAAGTGAAAAAATAGAGTGGGGCAAGGAGAAGAAATGTTGGGAACTGATGACAGAGATGAGTTCTATTGAGTTAGACACTCTACAGGGTTGAGGGAGGTGGATGCAGGACAGATGCTTTTGTAGAAAGAGCCCGAGCTGCTTCTGCCTACAACCCTTCTCCGACACAATACTTCGGAGGGGTACTCCGGTCTTATGTGTTTTTGCAGTGAAGAAAACTGAAAGGTACTGCTTCGCTGGACTACTAATGGCGGATTTTAGGGACGACAGATTCAAAGACGAGCAGAGTTGTTTAGCTCTTGACCTGAGGGTCCCAGACGGTCGCGATTTCAGTTTGAGAAAATTCTTTGAAAGGGCAGCGTTCACCTTATCTCCAAAATCTCCCTCTTCTAACACAACAAACACACCCGTCTTATCGGATTCTAACAGCTTTAGGTGTTCTTGACGAAGCTCTTCAACAGCGGCGAGTAGAGAGATCTTGCCTGGCTTGGGGGGTGGGTGGAAGCACACGGCGCGGATAGCGGAGCCGAGGAAATTTTGCCTCTGTGGTTCTGGGATGGCGGCGGCGACTTGATGAACTGAGGCGAGTTGATCAACCTTTTTAGTGGGAAGGTCTGGGGCGAACTTGGGGCCTTTGGAGAGCAATTCCATGGTGTCAGACGAGATAGCAGTTTTGCACAACAGGACTGGCGGTTCAAACTTCGTCTCGTTCAGCTCACGGCAGGAGGCAGTCACTCCAGCAATCACTTCTTTCCATGAAGCTTCAAGGAGGCGAGAAGCTGCGGCGACGATGAACAGGTACGAAGGATGCGAGCGGAAGCCAGCGCCAAACAAGTTCGTCGTGCGGCTGGGAAGGACCCTCCCCAGAAGGTGGAGCTCCAGGGATATTTCTTTCCTCGATATCTGCATGATGCGGTAGCTGGAGGACCAGTTGTTACAGTTGAATCCAAGGACGGAGGCCACTCCAGGATGAGGGAGGTTCTTGCGTAGGTGCAGACCGAGCGAGCGGAGCCTCCTGCGGTGAGCTGAGCGAGACGAAGTTTGAACCGCCAGTCCTGTTGTGCAAAACTGCTATCTCGTCTGACACCATGGAATTGCTCTCCAAAGGCCCCAAGTTCGCCCCAGACCTTCCCACTAAGAAGGTCGATCAACTCGCCTCAGTTCATCAAGTCGCCGCCGCCATCCCAAAACCACAGAGGCAAGATTTCCCCGGCTCCGCCATCCGCGCCGTGTGCTTCCACCCACCCCCCAAGCCAGGCAAGATCTCTCTACTCGCCGCTGTTGAACAGCTTCGTCAAGAACACCTAAAGCTGTTAGAATCCGATAAGACGGGTGTGTTTGTTGTGTTAGAAGAGGGAGATTTTGGAGATAAGGTGAACGCTGCCCTTTCAAAGAATTTTCTCAAACTGAAATCGCGACCGTCTGGGACCCTCAGGTCAAGAGCTAAACAACTCTGCTCGTCTTTGAATCTGTCGTCCCTAAAAACCGCCATTAGTAGTCCAGCGAAGCAGTACCTTTCAGTTGTCTTCACTGCAAAAACACATAAGACCGGAGTACCCCTCCGAAGTATTGTGTCGGAGAAGGGTTGTTGGCAGAAGCAGCTCGGGCTCTTTCTACAAAAGCATCTGTCCTGCATCCACCTCCCTCAACCCTTTAGAGTGTCTAACTCAATAGAACTCATCTCTGTCATCAGTTCCCAACATTTCTTCTCCTTGCCCCACTCTATTTTTCACTTGACATAGAAGACATGTATTTCAATCTAGATCCTACCGCTTTGCTTGCCTCAATCTCCGACGCAATCTTTGAGCACGGAGCTGTGGATTTTCAGAATTCCTCCGGTGTCTCCGTTGCTGGATTCGTGGACCTGATTCATCTATATCTCCAGTCCACCTTAGTCGAACATGAGAAAGGGATCTACCGCCAAAAAAAGGGAGTTTGCATCGGTTCATGTCTCGCCCCTGTTCTCAGTGAATTATTCCTTTTATTCGTTGACAGAGGTATAAAAGCACAACTGGACATCTCCGTGCCTGGCTGCCATGTTTTCAGATTTGTAGACGATTACCTAATCATTCATCCTGCTCGAACTTCTCCAGATAGCATTACAGCTGTTTTTTCCGCTTGTTCGTCAGGCCTTACATTCACGAAGGAAGAACCATCGATGAAGGTCTTCAGTACCTAGATTTGCGGCTTCATGTCAGTGCCACTGGACTCTGCTGGGCCTTTCAACAAAGGTCTTCCAAACCTGTCCTACCGTTTTCTAGCGCCCATTCGAAGTCGGTAAAACACGGTATCATCAAATCGTTGTTTTCTTCATCCTTCACGAAGTCTTGCTGTCATCTTTCAGAAGATAGCTTAAAATTGCAGCACATGAGGCTTGTCAGGGCAGGGTTTCCCGTCGACCTTCTCCGATCTGTAATGGAAAGGATGATTCGCGGGCCTGATTGCCAGTCACCAGCCACAAAAAAGAAAGCCCGATTCGCCGTCATTCCTTACGTACACAATTCAGCCCACCGGATAAAATCCATTGCCTCAAAGTTCGACACGAATGTTGTCTTCTCGTGCCGCATGCGTCTTAAACAACTCTGTCAACAAGTGAACAACAACCGGATTCCGATTGGCTGCACTGTCAAACACGAAAAGAAATTCATTCCATGCAAAGAGAAGAAAGTTTACTCCATCCCCTTGAGCTGTGGCCATCAATACATAGGACAGACCGGCAGATGCACCAATCACAGACTCCGCGAACATCACAACGAAGTTTCTAAGGCCTCTCCAGATTCTTATCATCCCATAGTCATACATGCCCGTTCGTGTTTGCGTTGTCATCCCCTCTTTGATGACACAAAAATCCTTGGGGGGCATGACAGCAGATTCGGCAGGGAAATCATAGAATCATTCGCCATGACCACAGCAAAAAATAACGTGTCAAACCCTTCCCTCCTGCTGACGAAAACTGAGGTTGAATTTTCAAAAACTGAGATAACCCTATTACCCTGACTTGCACTTCGCGTGTTTTATCTTTCCTTCTCTCCCCTTCTCTCCCCCACTCCTACTGGGTATAGTCGGCTGCTCGCTGTTGAAAGTTTACTCGTCTGTTGCTAGTTGAAAGATGTGGTTGTGTTGTCCCTGTTTTAATTGTTTATTCTTTCTTCATCCTTGACTTAAACCAACACGCTCTTCTACCAAGCAAGTAAAAACTTGTGTGAAGAACTCCTGAACACATCTCCTGGTAGCGCTATAGTGGCAGCTGCATTTTTGCTGGAACAATGCACTGAACAAGCTGTTCCTTATCGAATTAGTGGTTGCTATTCTGACGTTCAAAGGAAGTTATCTTTTAAT